AGTACTTGGGGGTGAACCTCTGCAGATGACCCTTTCAGTCACAGTATGACTCACTATGGTGTTCAATCCCCAGGCCACACCAAGCTGTAATGCCTAGCATAAGGCTATCTCTGTTTTGTCCATTTAAATGTTTAGTAAGATCACAGGTCCTCCTAAGCCCATATGGGAGTCCACGGCAAGCCATCTTAGCCATGTACCCTGAAACAATGCAGGCGGGGCCGTAAAAGTTGATATCCTTCCAGATGCAAACCAAATGTAGACATCATGCACCTTTAAAATGTCATGCATTCAACACAGACTGCTATAAAAATAAAAGGTGGGAGGAAGTGAGGGAACGACGTGCAGGATTTCTCACATTGATCAAGAGAAGCTAAGCCCTAACGTGGCTGAAAACTGAACCATCGTGTAGGTAATAAACAGTAACTTGGTGCATCATTTTATCTCCAGGAAACAGGTTACTTATGTTGAGATGTTACCAGTTTTTAGTTTATTTAATAATTACATCAATCATATCCTTCTACCAATGGCATAACCTTAAACCCTAACCCTATAACCATTACCTACCCTCCATGCTTACTGCAGCACTCCAAAATGCAAACTGATAATGGTCAAATTAGAGTATCTCCTATACTGTAAACTAAAATAAGGCAAAAGAACACCTCTGTTCCTCCAAAGCAATAAAATAAAAGCAACACTGAAACAAACACAATGTATCTCATAGCTCATTAGTTTCACTTTATTACAAGTTATGACATTTTTGTACCAAACTGAGCAGGGACATGACGACGTTGCAGTTTTAGTATGTTGGCTGAATTACTTTAAAGAGAAGCTTGACCGACCAAGCTGATCTGTAAACAACTTATAAAATATACGAGCCAAAGATCAAATAGGTAAGACAAGTTAAAGACATGTAGAGGAAAAAGCTCAGCAGCAGACTAATCAGCCCCCTCCAACGCTCACATAGCAGATCAATGAAAGACCTAGGGCCTTGGGCTTGCACTATATTACATACCAAAACTTCATATTCATTCATTGATTTTACTTTTCAGAATAGTATATCATTGAACTCCAATGGGAGCGAAAAATAAGAGGCCAGGGCTGAGGTCAAGCCTCGCGTGGACGGATGTTTGCACAATATTGATGGCGGACGCAGAAAGAAATGACTAAATATCTGGATCAATAGCTAGTTTCCCTAGCCACGACAGGTTGTTCCAGATGGAAATATATAAATACTTCTTTATGGCTACTGGAGTGGCCCTAATGAACAGGGCTAAATGTCCCCCTTAAGGTAAACTCTTTGATTAGCCAAGGCCAGAGGTGACCAGAGGGGTCTGCTGATGCTGGGATGCCACGCTTCCAATGGCCCCGAGGATGCTAATGCACACATGGGCCCGGTAAAGGAGCCAAGGATATGACAGGTCACAAGCCCTGGGCAAAGTGCTCTGTGCTACCTGACCCTGCTATTCATTTGTAATGATGATAGGCCCAGGCTACACCATTCTCAGTCATGTTCAACTAATGCATACCATGAATAATTTAGAAAAATCTTTCCCTCAGTTTTCACATAAAACCACTATTCTAATTGTAGTAATCAGACCTGGAACTGAGAGGGTCCAGTATAATTTGGCCTAAAGAAACAAATTTGCATGTGGAATTATTTCATTTTCAGCCAAATAAAGCACGTATAAAGTAGTTAAATATGTAGAGCACCTTGTAATCAAACTTGGCCTGGTGAAAATCTTGCATCCTGCTGCTGATGGCACAAGAGCTGCCTGTTCTTATTTACAGCACAACACAATTACTGAGAACAACACCCAACCTCACAGCTTCCCCTGCTCCACAGCGACCAGTGGGGCCATAAAGAGGGAGGAACCACATCATTGCCTACTCCTTAATTAAATGAAAGCTGTTAGGTTCATTTGCCTCCTTTTTTTACACATTGAACTGGCCAGCCCACTGCTGAAGACCTCCCAGACACCATCCCTGCTTGGCCCTAAATCATGACTGGATAAACGGCCCAGTGGGTCCCTGCTGGACACACGGTGGCCGCCCAGTGGCAAGGCCAGAGCAGGGTGTGCGGTGGATCGACACCTAGCCAGCGATAAGTAATTCTGTAGAGGATTAGCAGCATGATAGCCTGATCAATACTGTGTGCTCAGGCCATTAGGAATGCAGTGAGGAAATGACCCCCTCCGGTAATAAAGCAGGGCATCTGGGTTCTCCTTCATTTGCCAGCTCCATTAGTGTAATGGTATCATTATCTGCCACAGCCGTATTTTTCTGAGCCCTGGCTTTTCCACAGCTCGACCGGCGGGGGTCTGATGAAGCTGTGAGAGCCCCCATGCCGAGTGTTCCCCTTTCCACCATTCTACACAGAGTCTAGGTGTAAATCTAGCTCTGTTGGAGCTTATGTGCTACCCTGCCTTAGGTATCCATACCCATGTTTTATGTCAGCACCCAACACTATTTCTCCATTATTGGCTCATTAATAGAGCAAGCAGCATGTAGCTTGGGTTAAAAAGGATAAAAAGATGGCCGCCAGAGCGCAAAGCTGCTGAATGTGCTGAATCTGACACCCCCCTCCTGCTAAAACACCAGGCCTGACATGACAGGACGTCGGCATTAGTCGCCATAAATCGTTTCCTTTACACTAATTCACCAGCTAACATTTTGTGTGGGAGAATTGATTAACCATGTCTGGATGTGTGGCCACATAATCAGCTTTTACCTCGGTAGTTGTTAATTTAACAGAATTGCCAAGGGAAACACAAACCATTTTAATGAGTGTTCAGAAATTAAATACCCTAAACAGCTTGCACTAGGTGCCACAACCAGAGCAAACCAATGAGGCTGATCTAAGCAATGGGCTGGGCTGAGCCCAGGACCTCACAACATCTGGTGACCCTGTGTGATCATTACTTAGCCTGCTGCTCACACACACACTTCCTGTTTCGACACAGCACTTTATACTTGTCATCACTGTCCAAATGGCGAGCTTGCATCAAAGACAGCATTAAAACATCGGGTTAAGGGACAGGACCACTGCTGTTTTCACACTTGCCAAGGCATGAGGGGAAATTAATCTTGTGACAATACTGATAATACATAATGGAATGTTTTCACTTCATTTGGGTACAAGGAACGTTTAATGTTGCTGTGGGGAGGACATTTATGAAAATGCAGCTACTTGAGAACTTAAGACAATACACAAAATTATAAACAGTCTGTCATTTTTGTAGTTGAAACAACAAAGACAACAGTGTCAAACAATGTCTGATGGATCCATCCTCTAGTCTAAGTAAAAAAGTACCAATATATTTTAACAAATGTGAATTCATGTGGATGGGGTGTGATTCATTCTCCCTGTGCAGTTAGGCCCGTGTCCTCTTCTATTTCACCTAAAAAACATATACAGACTATGACATACCACCTGTCAGTATGTTATACTGACTTGCTGTGGTGGGATTTTCTAAGGAGATTGTTTATTCATTTGGCACTAATCTGTTGGTGCTTGCATTCCCTAACACAGAATGACAGCGGACCCATCACAGTGCATCTTTCACTTTGTGCACCATTGCAAACACACTCACTTACTGGATAAGACAACCATCATATCCAAGTTATTAGTTATCATAATAAGTGTATCATTGTACAACCAGTGATAACATAAAAAGGTGGCAGAATGCATGCAGCTCCTTCCTTGGCTGCTCTACAGTCATATAGTCATTTTGCAATTACAATTCCTCTTGCTCATCCTTTTATTTATCTAAAGAGAAAGGAAGCTAAGCCATTAGGTCTGTGCAGTGCTGCCTGACTGCCTGAGGGCCAGCTGGAATGAGTTCTCTCTCTGAGCCGCTCATCTGGCCGCCATGGCTGCTTTCATAAACAGGAGGAACCACGTCCTACATAGTTTCACTGCTGTCTAACATGATCCAAACACATGTGCCACAGCAGACTGCATCCAAGTCAAGAGATAAGAGGAGAAGCAGACAGAGAGGAAGACAGACAGACACTATGACTATAGGCAGCACACAGCCCTGGGTGCCTTGGGCACAGCAGAGCCATTTCCTTCCTTTCCTTTAGTATCTCTACAAACAACAAAGTTACGGTTATACAGCATGTGAAAGCCTGGTTAAGCCCAGGTCAGCACGAAACACAGCTTAACGCACCAGCGCACACACAACAGTTGGTCATCCCAGGTTATAAACGCACCCATCTCTGTTCACATCAAAATAATCCTGCACACACATCTTACTCAAGTGAGATCACTTAGGTGAGGATTATTTTATTAAACCATAGCAGGTTATCTAGCTGGCTTATTTACAGAAGGTATTACTTTATAACAGTAATACAGCATTAGCCAATAAGTTATCATTTGTACTGTACATCAGAGCCCTGTATCTATAGTAAATCCTGAAGCAGCTGTAGACTGCTGGCCTGGCACCATGCCAAATCTGAGAAACACTACACACTAACTTTCCCACCTCTCTTTACTGTTGCACTGGGATGTTACTGCTGCTGCTATGCAATTAACCATTTATCCAGTCTTCACAGCAGAATGACATCCCAAATTCAGCCTAGACGTTGCCTCTTTGTTTGCTTGTTTTTATTAAATGTCAGAGACTAACCTATGGACTAGTTATGATCTTTACTATTGTCTCCCAAAAATCCTACAGACTGTAATTCATATCGTGTTTTCACTTGATATGGGATGTTGCCGAGACGTTACTCTGTAATCTACAGCTTTTCATGAGCAGTGTATTTAACGTTACGTGATAAAGCAGCGTTTTAATGCATCTGTAATTCTTCATTGTGGTAGACTGGGGGAAAAATGGAAAACACAATAAAGGAAACAGGCAAGGTGAGGTATGTGCTGACATTTCGCGGCTTTCTAGCCTTCAAAATGCAGCCAGCAGCATCACATACGGAGCATTAGATATTCAACGAGCGACAGGGCTTAGAAAAATGCCAGAGCTAACGGAGAAAAACGCTATCAATACCTTTCTTCTCTTCTCCCCCTCACTGTCACCCGATCTTTTCATGTTCCTGGAGTTGTGTTTACACTGCCTCGCTTTCATTAGGGGCGACGTTGGTCGTTGTAGTACACGAATAAATGGTATCTTAATGTATTCTTATATTAGACAGAGCGCATGCAAGTGCAGCCTTTCGTGTAACTTCAGTCAGAGACCAGTCGTCGATATTATCAGTCTAAAAGTGTGTTGTGGAGAGAGATTCTTAAAGGAGATGCTAAAAGCGTAGCGTTGAGAACTACAAATCCCATATTGAACGTCTGCTAGCGGCGGAAGCAGCTTTAGCACGCTCTAGATGTTGCACTGCGCAGCTGCAGCGCAGGTACAGATCTACAAACTGCCAGTAGGCCAGTCAACATGGTTTTAAATCAGTGATTTATGTTTTACAGCCCTTAAAATGGCTGTGATATTGAAAAGCAACAAATATGAAACAGACAACTAATATATTATTATTATTATTATTATTATTATTATTATTATCATTATTAATAGTAATACTGCAGTTCAGCAATATTTTGAATGCACGTTTTTGTCAAATAAAACACATTTCACATTTTTCCTCAAAATATCCTGGTCTTCAGCATGGATATTCCATATGCTTCCCCTTTTTGTAAATCAAAAGCAGTGTCACTTTCATCTTAGACTACGTGTAAAAATAGCAATCATGCTTTGAACGCGCTCCAGTTCAAGTCCCGCCAACCTTCTTTCAACTCTTCCATGCATCTCAAATCCAGGTGTTTTTCTGCCGGTGTGGGCTTCAACCACGTCAGCCCTTTTCAACTCACTACCAATCATGAAAGTGCACCGTAAACGCTCAGCGTCGATGTGGCTGCCTTTATGTATCACCCACAGTTGGAGTAACCTCCAAGAGTTCATCCAGATTGCTCATAACATGTTTTGAATAGTGCTGAAATGTGTTCTGGCCATTGTTCCTATCAAAGCACATGTGAAATACATGAGAGAGTTTCACGGATGGAGCGGGCGGTGGAAGTGGGAGGGTGGTGCAGGGGCGGATTGCAGGGGTCTGTAACACCTGTTACATATTACCATTACAGACTTTGATCAGTGTCTTCATTAGTTTCCTTTGTAATCTCTTTTCTTTTATGGTAGAGCTGACCCAAGTGAGCCGGGTACAGTGATTTAACACACATGTTTCTTTCACCTGTCTTGTAAAATGCTCAAAAGCTCTCCCACTTTCAAAGATGCCGATGTCTCTGGCATCCCTTACTAATAAACGGAGGGGTTCTTTTGATTCCTATTTATAACCTACATTTCCTCTCCTCTGTCCTGGTCTTCCAAGGGAAAAGTATGTTTGAAAAATATACTTGGAATCATTTTGTGAAAACTAGACCCATGTGCATGCATATATATACCTTTTTTACATTAACATATGTCAGCCTATAGTGTCTTTTAGAGCTGCTATTGTGGAAAAAAAATCTTATGATGTTGTAAATAATTTCTTTTTTTATCATATAATGTCAAAATCTGCCTTCATCCAACCTCCATCACCCCGATTCCATCATTACACTATGTTCCTTTTATGCGTCAAACTATCATTCACATATTCACGCTGTCAATCATCTTTATGGTTAACATTTCAGGGAACAGACGGTTCCCTGCCTGACTTTTGTGGCTGACTCTGTGAGATCTTTGAGTGAACATAAAGTATAGGGCCTCTAATGGCAGACAGGCCACTTACCTTGTCCAACAATCCCTGCAGAAGCTTGGTTTTTAATTCCATCGCTGGTGGCCCATTGGGAGAATGGTGTCAAAGTCCTCACAACCCCCATAGCTGAAGAATCATATGTGCACAGTGGGCACTATTAAATTATTCACAGAGTATATAAACCATTTAAATCATGTTTAGTTCTCAGTAATGGAGGTTTGTGGAATCAATTCAGAGCCAGGATAGAGAATTGCTTTGATCATAATTAGGTACATTGCTTTAAAAATGTATTTTAATAAAGTGACCTTATTAAAAGTGTAATGCAATTGGTAAGACAAAAAATCCTGTTACTTTAAAGGAATATTTAGACATTTCTGGAAATTTGCTACTTTATTTTCTCACCAAGAATTAGATAAGAAGATCGACACCATTCTCAAATCTGTCCAGTAAATACTGTATAAGGCTATATCCAGCACCCAGTTAGCATAGCTTAGTATAAAGAGTGAACACAGCTACCCTTTCTTCATCCAAAATTAACAAAATTCACCCACCAACACCTCTAAATCTCACTAACCAACATGTCATATGCCTGCAGTGTAACAATGAGAAGTTGTGGTTTAAAAGGACCAGTGTGTAGGATTCTGTGGCATCTAGCAGTGAGGTTGCAGATTGCAACCATTTGAATACAGCTCAGCCTTCCAAGCATGTAGGTGAAACTACTGTGGCCGTGAAACACAAAAGGCCCTATCAAGAGCCAGTGCTTGTTTTTTCAGTTCTGGGTTACTACAGAAACATGCCGGTTCAACATGGTGGCCTCCATCAAAGAGGACCAGCTCCCTCTGTAGATAAAAACAGCTCATTCAAGGGGAACAAAAACATAACATTTCTTATTTTCTATTCAAGGTGACTCAGGAAGCCGCATTAACCCCCTGTAAAAAACCCCACTTAATGGTCGGTGGAATTTGGTACCTTTGCACAAAACCTGAATGGCTAAATCACCCTCTCCAGTTTTTGGCTCAGCTATGCTAACAGGCGCCTAGCTTCATATTAACTCTACTAACTATGAGTGGCATCAACCTTCTCACCAACAAGACAATAAACATAATACCCAAAATGTTGAGCTATTCCTTTTAATTGTTTTCCAATTGCATGTCAAAATGTATTAACAAATTATCAATGCTTTAATTTTTTCTGCTGCTGTCTTTTTTAAGTCTACACCACTTCATTCGAATTGTAAAACCAGTCCATCATTACAGAATGTTACTTTAGGGAACATGTCAAAGTATCATTCACATGTTCTCACTGTCAATCATTGTGATATACAAGAGGACAAAGTTCTCTGGATCTTTTTTGCTCAATGGCCTGGTCTGAGGCTCTGTGAACAATCATAATGCAGAGGCTTGTTACACGGAGACACGCCAATCACCTTCTTCAGCAATGCCTGTCAGTGAATCAGGGTCTAAAGCAGGAACCTCTCCCCTCATGTCAGACCTGTGGGGTTCAGCATGAGGCAAGGTCATCCCTGTACATACTCTGATGTGGTATCATTTGGGATGGAGGGGGGAAAAATCACTTTCAACTTCTTCTTCTATCATCATATAGCCCTCTTTACTGGTCTGGCCAATGTGTTTGCGCTCACGATGGGGGTATGTTTTCTGTTATTGTGCATTGCATCAGATCCGGATGACCCTTTGACAAAGCTCCTTTTTGTGATATAATGAGCGCCTAAAAAAGCTGGGGAAGAAGAAAAGATGAGAGGAGCAGGGTACCAGAATGTACTAAAGCACAGTAAAAGGAAGACAGAGACCATTGTGCTGTGTCTGTATTAAAACCAGAGCCCACAGCCCTGCAATCATCTCTCCCCCATGCTCCAAACTATTGTATGGCTTGAAAAATCTGAAATACAAGACACAGGCCTCTTTGTGAATAATGATATCTTTCCGATGCAGGAGTTTCTGTTGGGCCACCTAGATTTTATTATTACGTTATCAAGTTAAGCTGTGGTTTTCAGTATGAAAGAGAGGAAGCAAACTACTGGGAAAACGGAAAACAATACAGTCAAGCTTTGTCCTGCACCACACGGGACCTCTGGTGAAGGTACTGTCAGAATTGTAAACAGCATTTTTCACTTACCACAACTTCGGCCAGGGACTATCTTCAGCATATTGTGCTGCCTGCTTGAAGACAAGCTCTTTTTTGATTTTTATTTATATCGAATGAGCATATGGAGCAAGTATGTGCCTCTCTGCTTGCTAACCTTCAATGCTTAGCCCTAGGAAACTGTTATTTGTCAGTGCTATAAAGCAGATTGCTGCCCAGTGGTTTCAATTAACATCAAAGAGCTCTTCACAGGCAGTAATAGTTATATCAGAACCTGAAATGTATTATTTAGGTTATGTGCTGGAGTCCTCTAAATGATTATGTCCTCGTTCAGGAGAGGGTTTTCCTTTCTTGCTGACTTTTTCCTTTCCATATACTCCACTCCTTTAACTCGTCTCTTTGAAGCACTCCCACATCACTCCTATACAGTCTCTGTGTAGCACCAGGGTACCTGTGTGGCTCACACCCGGTGGCCTATTAGTTACAAGGCATAAAAAGTGGCAGTACAATAGTGAGGGAGAAGATTAAAAGTCATGTGTAAAGTGTCTAGATGTTGGCAGATTTTGGCAATTCTCACAAGTTTTGCTATTGATTTCTCACTGGAGCCACATGTAATGTATGCACTCCAAGGGTCCTGGTACATGTGTTTTATTAAATATGCAGAATGTATAAAAGGTGCAAAGTTGAGAATAGGCATTCTGAGTGTTAGAGGAGAGTTGCCTCTATGAATCATTTTATAATGTCTTTCATCTAACTGTGACCATGTGCCATTTCTATTACCACGGTCTTTCTAAGCAACAACAGGCTCACTTGCAGATTGTGCAAAATGAAATATTATATGTACATTTATGATTGCAATGAAAAGCCCATTTAACTACAGGATATAATTAAAATTGTTAACAGGGTTAAGGCATGTGTACAAATGCCTTAATGGTCAGGGACCAGACCTTTTACAGGTGTTTGAGCACATAGTCAAAGTTCAGTCAAAAATCACTGATATGGTAAATCAGATCTAAATCCTTTCCATGTTTGTGGGCCAGCTTGGAACAGCTGACCTGATGATGTGAGATAATAAAAGTATTATAGGTAAAGAGGACAGGTGGGTGTAAGAAATTCTATTCTAAAAAATATTAATTGTATCTTAAGTAATACCTACAATAATTAAATCTGCATGTAACAATTTACACCCAAGTCTGTTGTGTAGCAGGGCCACAGTAACCTGTGTTGTGTCATTATTTGGGTCACTTAGATCACTATGGAAAGAAGTTATATTAAATATTGCTTGTTTTTACCCTGTGTCACGCTTCAGTTTCATGTTTTTACATCTCTTTATATTGTTGTATGCTATTTACAGATTGTTGTTTTTTTCTGTTGTTATTGTT